TGTGTCTCTCATTAGGTGAAAATCTAAGAAGGAATTTTCGCTCCTCATTGTTCTGTTTAGAAGGTGTTTGTTGTTTTATATTTTAAAAATTTTCGAATGTTAAAAATGTTACACTACATGATAAAAATAGACCTTAATTTTACAAATAGTTATAGATAAACCTTAATCTTTCCACGAGTTTTCGAATAGATGAGGAAGCGTAATTCGTGTAGGTTTTGGTAACTTGGCAACAAAAAGATTAATACGTTACTCCAAAAACCAACGGTCGCATAAAGCTTTTCTGATACACGAAAATAATGTTATAAAGATATGTACGATGTATGGTTTGCTTAAAGAAACACAGTCATCTTCTAATCACCATATCTACAAACAAAACCAATTTCAAATTCCAACACGGCTAGAAAAACGGTTTAATATCAGGTTTTTGACCCCAATGATCTCCACAAAAAACAATAATCTCCAAAACTCTTCGGTAAATAAAAAGAGTCGACTCAGGTTTTCTTAAATAGACTAAGATTAAGACACAACTTGGAGCGAGCAGATTTACATGGTACACAACCACGAAAGAGTTCACTTTTTAGGGAACAGACATAGATAAAATATAAAATGCTAAAAAGTAAATTTAGAGTTCTTTGCTTGTTCAACAAGCAACTAAACCAAAACACACTAACTTCAGACTCCTACTATTACTCTTACTACTTCTGCTGCTTCCCATTTTGGTTCCTTGTGCCACACTCTTCAGTTCCCATCATCTGATGATTTCAAGTAAAGCGTTTCTCCACCATCTCCTGAGCTTCCTCCTCTGCCTTCACCAGCCCCGCCACTTCCCATTTCCGGCTTCCCACGGCCAAACTCATGAAACCCACCAGCCTCTCCCTGAAGGATATGGAGACCGCTGCTTCCTCCTCCGCTGCTCGAGCTCATCCCGAGCTGGCTATGGTGCATTTGCTGATGCTGGAGCGTTGCATAAGGCTGCTGCTGAGCATACAACATTGAGGATCGAGCCGCCATTAGAGACTGCTGAGTCATCTGCTGCTGTTGAGTTGCTTGTTGCTGCTGCAGATAGTGTGACCCTCCTTCTCCCTGAAGCAATCCACCACCAGCAGATCCATACTGCC